GATTTACAAATCTCGATGTATTGTATAGCAATACACTCCACAATGCGTCGTGCTCTCCTTATAAATGTAGGCGCTTATCTGGCAGACGTAGACGCGAACAATTCTCGTATTGTTATGCAAATGTTTAGAAATTGTAGGAGATATTATATCCGTGATATAATGCTCTGCTTTATCATGCTTATGTGTGCTTCAGTTAAAGCTGAAATATCTCTGAACAGTTTGACTGATACATGTCCAAATGTCAATATTGTAACATAACTTTACCCTAAATATAAGTTCTAAGGCCTATGTAATAACGGGACGAACCTTACGATAACACATTGAGCACAAATCCAGACTCTGCAGTATTGCTGAAAAATTACTATCAGAGAATCCCAACAATGTACAATAACCCAAGATTTGTAGTGAAGCATTCAAATGGAGCTTGCTCCTTATTTTTATATTTTCAGCATAAGAAAACTGTGAATATATAATAAGAAATGTAGTACTTAGGTACCTGTAGCGCTAGCAGTTCTGGGCCTGGACAGCCGGTCCACCGACTGCTGCAGATCCTCAGTGAGGCGCGAGCGCTTCACTCGCGAGTCGTCCGCGTCGTTCTGAGTGTACGACCGCTTGCGACCCACGCGGGATGTCGGTGCTGGAACTATGACGTTCTCATTAATCTAAGTATTTACTATTATGAGTTGAGTTAAAAGTTAAATACCACACTGTGTGCTTCAACTTACCACTCTCTTCATACACGAAGCTCTTGTTGGATCCCTTCAGATTAGACTTTATAATCTTCTTCCTTTCCTGGGCGACCAGCACAGGATTGTCCACAGGACTGCAGAACATGACTCTGGTCAGCCTTGGAGCCGGCTCTACAGAAGCACGGACACCCTTCTCAATGGACCGAGTCACATTCAACATGTTCTTCTTCTGGTTACTCTTAGTTACATGATATGGAGTGCAACCCGCTGCTGGTACTATTGACGACCTTCGTTTAGTTGGAGTATTTGTCTCAGCGTCTTGTTTCTGAGGACTCTCTTTGGTGAATGTTCCCTCTCTTTTCAATGGAGTTTGTGGTTTTGGACTTTCTACCTTAGTCATTGAGTGGTGGGACTCATCAATGCTGCTCTCTATCAATAATGGAGTGGTGTTCACAATGTTCTCCATGTGTTCTGATTCATCACTGGTTATACTGATGCGAGATATCTCCGACTTGTCTACAACACTGCTGTTGTCTGAGCTTATTAGGGAAGACTTGGGTTCACAGTTACTATTCACATTACCAACCTCAGCATCATCCTTCTCAAAAGTAGTGTTTAGTTCTGTCTGGATGTCCATAGATTTGGTTCTCCTTGGTGATTTCCTTTTCAGTGGACTTTCTGTATTTGATGTCTTCTCATAAGTTGTATTGATAGCATTCACTGTGAAGCTGTTATTTTTATCAAAAGTGTGTCTCCTGATGGAGGTCCGCTTGGTAGCAGAGCTGCTTATGATGTTGTCTTTACTCAAATCTTCCTTTGTGAAACTAATTTTGGAGATGTTACTTTTGTCAAAAGTGCTATCCTTGATACTGGATTTCCTCGTAATTACACCTATCTTAAAAGCATCAAAAGAAGTAGAAGTGTCTTTGTCAAATGTTGTGTCAATAGGTTTATCATATGTTGTGTTAACATTTATTTTAATTTCCTTTTCATATGTGGTATCTAACTGCTTTTCTCCTTTGTCAAAAGTAGAATTTGTAATGTTGTCACTTATCTTGTCTGAATCTTTTTCAAATGTTGTATCTTTGATATTAGATTTCCTTCGTAACTGTTTACTGGAAATGTTAGATACATTCACATCATCAGCTGTATCTTTCTCAGTCTTACTACTGTTTACTAAGAAGGCATTGCTAGCAGATTCCTTTCGAAGAGATTTCCTCGACTGCAATTGTTTGTTAGAAGTATTCAAATATGTTTCCATGTCAGTTTCTCCTTGTGTAACTGAATTTGTACTTTTGTCAAATGACCTGTCTTTTAGAATGGATCTTCTAGATCTGTGGTGGCTGTTGGAAATATTGGAAACATTTAAATTAGTCTCTGCATTTGTATCAACTACATCCTTAAAGAGTGATTTGTTATTGTCAAGGTCTATTTTATCCAATTCATCACTCCCCACCCCATCATTGGTGGTAATTGTTTTTTTTACTTTTGATTTATTTTTCTTTGATTTAGTACGAGAATTATTTCTTGCATCGTTTTTAGTATCTGCAGTGCTTGAAATGTTACTCTCATCTGATGTAATAATAGAATTTCGTGTCTTCATCTGTCTATTATTTAAAATTGAACTATCCTCATTATCTCTTTCTGAATTTGCTGTGAAGATGAAATGGTTCCCTTCCTGAATGTCCTTAGGTCCAGACTTTCTTTTTATATCATCTTTGTCAATTGTGTTGTTAATATTGTCACCAATTATGTGCTTTGATATGTTCTCTGATGTATCACTATGGTCAGTGACATTATTACTGCGTTTTTTATTTTTTTTAGAAGACTTCTTACTTGTTTGTTCTTTTTCAAATGTATTGTTAATTTTGTTTGAGGGTGCTGGTTCTATATTGTTATGTTCTGTGTTAGGACTGCCAGCAGCACTGTGAAATGAATCCACAGACATATTGCTCCCATTGTGAGTACCATTCTTAGAGCTTTCATGTTGTGGCACACCCTCAGCAGTCATAGAATTAGTTTTCTTTCCTTTTTTCTTCTTCTTCTTTGATTTCTTTAAAGGTGCTTCCTCAGGAAGTGGATTTACATCACTTTCTTTCTTTTTCTTCTTATTTTTCTTTGATTTTGGTACATCAATAATTTCAGTTGGCACAATTTCATGATTTTCAGTTTCCTCAGTATCATCCAACTTTTTGCCGCGTCGTGATTTTCTAATAAGATTTTTCACTTCTGTTTGTGGCTCAGGGACGAAATTTTCTACTGAGTTTTGTTCTTTCAAAGTATTTTTACGCAACACACGGCTAGTTTTAGCATCACCTTCTTTACTTGTTATGTCTCCGAGTAACTCGTCGTCAGTAGGATAACTCACGTAATTGTTTCGTTTTTTGTTTTTAATTAATGAAACACCTGCTTCTTCCGTCTCATCTTTAACTTGTCTGCTTCGAGTCTTTCTTTCACTCTTTACAGCAGGTTCACGTTTCGTTACGACTGTGTCTTCAAGCAACGAAGTATGCATCCCTGTAATTCACAAATATTTATTAAGGTTTTAGCCTATTTACACACAATAACTATTCACCTTTTACACAATTATCACAACTTACGTTTTCCGGATCTGGTAGACATATTTTTAGACAATTATTTTGTTTCAATAAAGTATTTTCAATATTTATGCTCACTGTTTATAGTAAATACATTTCACATTCAACCGTTTAACGTTTACAAATTTTCAAACTGCCAAACAAGGTAGAGTCCAGCAACGAAAAGTTTGACGTCTAAATTATTTTTAAATTAATATTATTTTAGTTTTCTTTTATTTTAATTTTTCCATTAGTTTTAGTTTGTTTTAAGTTGCACATATTTATCTATATCCTTCTTTTTATATTCCCTGTCTATAAGTACTAATAAAACAACTAAATAAACACATAGTTAATATTCACAATATGAAAAAATTCAAATATTAAAGGCAAATTAACACTGTTAAGATAACATTAATCTTAAATTGCTTTATTTTATTTTATCGAATTCTTCTAGATCCGAAATTTATAATACTTTTTTAAAAAGTTATCATACCTTTATTAAATTTCCAATAAAAACTTAAATAATATTAAAATTAACACTTTTAATATTTCAGTTTCGCAACTGGACCTCCAGATAATAAAACAGATGTGTTGTCACTTCACAATATATCATCTTTACAAAAAATAGTCGTGAAAACAAGCGTGATAAGTAATTTAGTTATATTTTTTACTAGCTGTGCCCGCGACTTCGTTCGCGTAGAATAGTGACTATGAGCAGCGTTTTTTTTTAAATATATACTTATTTTTATTTTAGATTTGGATCATAATCACGGTCATTTTGGGTAGCTAAAAAACCTACTTTACTGTAATGCTATATACAATATTAGACGTATGGCCATCGGGGGTGAAAGCATACAGGCTGCTGGGATTGCTAACACGGGACAGAGCCACATACAATTGACCGTGCGAAAAATAGCTGATACTTAGATCTATACCCACAACTTTTAGAGTCTGACCTTGAGCTTTATTAATTGTCATGGCGAAACATAGGCTCACTGGAAACTGAATTCGTTTAAAATTAAACGGAAAATTTTTTAGAATGAGAGGAATCTGAGGATTAAAACCACTATCACCTTTTCCGCACCCTGTTAAATATATATATATATATTTATAGTTAAATATATATATATATATATTTATATATATATATATATATATATATTTATAAGCCATTTCTGAGATTAGCGTAAACAGACAAACAGACAAAAAAAAGTTAGTTACATTTTTGGGTTCGACATCGACATAACAATAGCCCCTGCTATTTTTTTTTTATTTTCAATGTACAGACAGCACTTTTCTACAATTTTATTATATGTATAGATAGATAGTGTTCGACGTGATTCTTTAATTTGACGTAACTTTTTTATTTATGAACCAATTGACATGAAACAAACACTAAAGCATAACTGAAGCATGCCACAATATATTCGTGAAAACCGCATCCAAATCGGATAAGCCGTTTCTGAGATTAGCGCGAACAGACAAACAGACAAACAGACAAAAAAAAAGTTAGTTACATTTTTGGGTTCGACATCGACATAACAATAGCCCCTGCTATTTTTTTTATTTTTATTTTCAATGTACAGACAGCACTTTTCTACAATTTTATTATATGTATAGATTATTGCTTCTTTCGGATATATCGATTATTATATCCGCAAAATAATAATTTGATCTATAGTAACACTCTCAGTTGCTGCTAAGCCTAGCTAGACTGTCAAAACTCACAAAACTGTCAAAATAGTAACGAATGGTAACGAACAAACTTATCGCACCGCGGAGCTGTGTACAATTTTTTCACATGTTTACTATACTTAAAACTTAACGTTTAAAATGATGTACGTCATGCTTTATAAATACTCTTCACTGGTGATTTTCCAACTCCAAAAACGGGTGTGAGGGCCGATTTCGTATTGGGCGTAAACAAAACGTCAAGTAGTCTTACTGTATGAGTCAATTACACATAAGAACACAATGGGGAGACAGTATTACATATTTGTGTTATTATTGTTGTGTACGTGGACTTGCAGCGGCGACCGTGGGGACTACATCGGCTGCTACAAGTTGATGGTTGAAAATGTCCTCAACACTCATACTGGACAGTCTGTGGATGTCTGCTTGTCGGCGTGTGAGCAAGTATACTACAAATACGCAATCATAGGTAATGAATCGACGTGTTTCTGTGGAAATGAGCCGGGTAAATTTCAACTACCACTTGAGTCTTGTCCTACTCGATGTCCTAAGAATGACACTCAGTTTTGCGGCGGGGAAAATGCCGCTAGTGTGTACGATACCGAGGTGTTCTCTCCTGGGCCTCCGGCATCAATCAATATTACTAACGTTACTGAAACTACGCTGAGGGTCCGCTGGACAGCCCCAGATGCCTTCTCATCCATTTCTGGTTATATTATAAGAGCTATAGTTGTTGAGACCTATGCTGACTTTGCCCTTATAGATCTTGAATGGAGAGTATCTAATAAAACCTTTTACACTGAACTATTGAACTTGCAACCCGGCTCCAAGTATCAAATAGGAGTGGTGGCAGTCAATGATGGCTTTGAAGGCCCCAACATCACAACCACAGTAGAAACTGTGATTGGAACTCCAGATCCCAGCCCGCCCGACATAGAAATCATAGAAAGGAAAGGAGATAGAATGGTGGTGCACATCCCTGAAGCTAAAAATGTAAATGGCCCAGTGTCTATGTATAGGATCGTAGTCTCAATAGAGTTGTATCAACAAGGATTCATTGTTGAAAACCTAGGCAATTACACGTATGCCAGTGACCAAGGACTCCCCTACTACATTACAGCAGAGCTGGACCCTGATGATATTCAACATAATTTTATCATCGGAGACAGACACACATACAATGGATTCTACAATGCTCCTCTACCACTGACCAATGATATTGATGTGTCTTTAGGTGTTGTAAGTGAAAAAGATTTTGTGAAAAGAATTAGATATGCAGAATCAACTAAAAAAATTATATTAAATATCAATGAACCAGAGGAAACTTCTCCATTGGTAATAGCACTTGGGGCTGCCATTGCTATCAGTGTGGTTCTACTTCTAATTGGAGTAGGACTGCTCATAATCTTGCGTAAGAGAATACAGCTAGTAAGATCTCAGAGAGGCTCCCAGTCAATGCCATTAAGTCTTAGTGAACCATGCATGGAGATAGAGAATTCAGGTTTTATAGAAGAAGAACATGAAAGAGTTGATTATTACAGCAATTTAAAAAGAAAACTGTGGAACATACCTAGAAACCTTATAGACATTGATATTTCTTGCATTGTTGGTGTTGGCAGCTATGGCAAATTTACCAGAGGAAAAGTGCAACAACATGGGGCACAGACTCCTGGCCTAGTGCAAGTGGTAGCTGACAGGGAGCTGGAGAGACCAGACAAGAAACTAATGCTGCAGGAACTGGACCAACTCATCAAGTCTAGTGAACATGAAAATGTGATCTCACTCATAGGGTTCTGTGAAACTAACACAACATTATTTGTAGTTCTTGAAGATAGCAAACAGAGTTTGAAGGATTTGCTACTTCAGAGCAGACACAGGGACCTTCAAAACAATAAATTCTGTCTGATACCGGAGAACAGGCTGCTTCAGTACTTTGTGGACATTGCTCAAGGTATGGAATACTTGCATAGTAAGAAAATTCTACACAAACGCCTCAGTTGTCGTAACGTCGCGCTAAGTGAAAATGGTGTCGCGAAAATTGCCGGGTTTGGTTTATCTCACATGAGACCATTGCACGAGACACCAGATTACACGCGCTGGACATCTCACGAGATGTTGCGACTGACTAGATTTAACCCTAAGGCAGACGTTTGGTCGTTTGGTATCCTCATGTGGGAAGCACTCACGATAGGAGCAACTCCATATTTCCATAGTGCTAATAAAGACGTAGCAGCCCGAATTCTTCGAGGCATGCGGCCATCGCAGCCGTCGTACGTAGGTGACGACCTGTTCCAGCTTTGCCTGCAGTGCTGGCAGGTGGATCCTGACGAGAGACCCACATTCTCTGGCTTAGTGCACGAATTAAAGCCATTTGCCGAAGCTCCTGGTTGCAGGAGTCTGAGTTTTACTCATTATAATGGTTTCAATTACGAACCACATGTAGCGCAGTACGAAATCGTTTCATAGTATTTTAAGGATCAGGCAACTAACCAAAACATAGGTTTATTAGCTTCCAAAGAGTTATGTTTGATACTCGAGTGTAATACGAGGTCGGGAAACCAGCAACAATGGAATAAATTAAACAAGGTTTATTTTAATATGAAGGACAAGGAATTGATATTTTCAGAACTAGATTTTTGTTTTGTAATTAACATGTGTATTGTTTGTTCGCCATTCAAGTTAACTGAGAAGCTAGCGGTTGTAGTCACGCGGAACAAATGATCACGCGCTGTTGACCGCTTGCGGCACCAATACCAACCACGGTGAATTGCTGATTTTACACAGACAAAGCTCCACTAAAAGACATTTAGACTAATTGAACGTAATAACGTAGTAGTCATGTTATATTTAAACACGTATTAGTGACTGCATTTTTAAAAATGAAAATTTTTTATTAGGAAATTGTAAATTTAACTAATTAACTTCGTAATGCAGTAAGTGTAATGTTAAAATACTGGAACATTATTTTACCAGTTTGTGCTTATACTAACCAAATTATAACCACAAAAGTACCTAGAATTAGTGCGCACGTTGAAGTTAACCCTTCACGTAGGTGACAGTCCCGCAACATGTTACCTTTCTCAAGAAATGTAGATTTTATATTGTAGTTTTAAGTTAAATAGCATTAACAGGAATTTCAAGAGTAATTTCAGAAGAGTACACTTGACAACCCGTTACAGACATGTACTCGACTGGTTAGATTTTGTGTTAAATAAATTTGTATGCACCAGCCAACTGAATATACTAGTTATGTATTTTATGTTTATTTTAAATAAATAAGTTGGAATATGAAGACATACCCTCACTTGAAAATAATCGTACTTATGTTGCTAGGTAGCTAAGTAAAGTTTTACGTATCGAAACTAAAAATATTAATCCATTTTACGAATATTAAATGGCTTGGCACGACTGCTTGTAAAAATCAAGACGAATTATCCGATTAATGAAATCATAATTCGCGCGACTTTATAGTTTTTAATTTGACTTGTATCGATGGTCCTTCGAGCTTTATTTTCAGTATTTTAAATGTTTTATATCTTTATAAGTTTACATTAAAATACTTGATAATGTTCTACATCTACATAAACGATGGGATAATTTTAAACATAAATCTTTATTAAGATAGTATGTTCACTGGTAGGTACTTAGTTTAGAAGTTCAAATTAAAATCATTGGAGGATAATCTCACGTTCTATACTGCAGCTGTAGCCAAATACCATTTAGCGCTTGTCTACATGTAGAATAGAAAACCAAATTATATGGAATTGACGTAAATTTTGGCACCGGTTAGTGTCATCCCAATACATTTAGTTTTCTCTCTGTAGACAAGCGCTAAAGTGGCGTTTGGCTAAAGGCACTGAATTTATTATGATCTAGGTACTCAATTTCTTACTTTTCTTCGTTATGTAACTGTTTTCTATTTACTTATGTATTGGGGTCTAATTATCTCGGGCAAAGGCTTCTATAATTATTATAAAATTTGTATGATGGTATTGATTGATGTACTTTATTGTCTAATATTTATTTCTGCTATAATTTACTTAATTTGACTTTTTATTATCTACTTAGTTACATTTAGTTTTGTAAGATTTTATTTAAGTGATCTGAAATAAGGAATTCCGTCCATTTATTCGTATTTTTGTACGAAATCTCATTTTTGTGTAAATTTTGTATTGTATAACCAGCATATTTTTTTTTATAATAAAACGATATATAATAGACTTTTTAGTTTATTTTTTACTGAAGTTCTGTTAATACAAATACTTACCCTCGCTGCCCCTCTAAGAGATACCTACTTATTTTAACTCGTCGAGTACCGTCATTATAGACACAATTATAGAACAATAGGTTGCGGTCACCGGTGACCGCTTGGTGTTTGACAGTTTAAATTAAAATTGTAAACAGATGCCTCTTTGAATTAAAATAAACACTGTTTACAACACGATGATAATCTAGGGCTGTAGGCACAAATCATAAAAAAAAGTCATAACGACATCGCACTATTTGTACCACTCACTGCGGCAACATGATGAATTTTTCAGAGGAACTCTAAATAATTTCAAATCAGCAATTTGCTAGTCACTAGTCCAAGTTATGAGGGTTTGTTGAAGAATCTGGGGCAATTCTTTCAATACCCCAATATTTTTTCTGATTTGAATCAGTTGCCAAATAAAGTGACGAGTCATAGATTCTGGTTTATTTTCTGAAATAGTAGCAAGTAATACCATATTTCGTGGAGGTAATTATGAATTGAAACGACATTATTTAATTTTTGCATTTATTAATGTTAATATAATATAGACAATGTTCAAGGTACCTTTCAATTGGTTTCGAGCTTTTAAACACTAAGACATTGTATCCTTCCATTTTACCTCTTATCATTTACAACATTGCAAAATAACACTTCATTAGAAAATCAATCTGACAGTACAACTAACTAAACAATAATAAACATTGACTAAAATATAGTGAATTTTAAATTCAAAACATATTTATTATTCAACATTGTTTTTAAATTCAAACTTAATTAAAAATTATATTCTCGTTACATAACATTGCAGACCCGTTTATCGTAAACCAAGTTAACAAAAAATATTAATAATAAAAAATAAAAATTCCATCACTGAACTGTACAGCAACAAATGTTATCAACGTATGACATTTTACACATAACGTACGGAGCCGGAGCTCGCTCTATACATACTTATAATACGCAACAAGTTATAATTCAATAGAATTAGTATAACATATCAATCTCAACATGTGTAAAGGTTGATGAGACAACGACTGATCGGCGCTCGAGGGGCCGAGAGGCCGAGAGGCCGGTACGTACGCGGCGGGCGGGCGGCCCCGTCCGGCGCGGCCTTGGCTGGCCCGGCTGTGGGCCGGCCTCAACCTCGGCCGGCGCCAGCGTGGGTCGGCCTCAACCTCGGCCGGCGCCAACTACGGGCCGGCCTCAACCTCGGCCGGCGCCAGCTGTGGGCCGGCCTCAACCTCGGCCGGCGCACGCTGTGGGCCGGCCTCAACCTCTGCCGGGCTCAACGTCGGCCGGCGCCAGGTCGGCGCCGCGCCGCCCGCTCACTCCGTACACTCGCAGCAGCGGCCAACTCACGGAAATCTTTAACTTGGGCGTTAACAATAAAACTGACGTGTAACAATGAAAACGTTAAACACCGCGAGTGTACTGCGAGAATCGCACACGACTACGCCCTGGCGGACTAGCCCACATGAAACACAGCGAAATTTTTAATTTAATGATTAATAAACAATTATATATTACAATTAAATCCCTACCGTTTGGGACGCGTTCGTGACGATGTCAATATGCGCGAGTTGATTCCTCAGTCTTTAATAAATTGATGACAATGAGCAAGGAGAGTAACGTAAATGAAAAATGTTATGCAATTATATACAGATAGTGAGTGGAGCGCGCTCTGAGCACTGCCAAGTGCAGCCGAGTATTGCAGAGTACCACCGAGTACCACCGAGTACCACCGAGTACCGCCGAGTACCGCCGAGTACCGCCGAGTACCACCGAGTACCGCCGAGTACCGCCGAGTACCGCCGAGTACAGTCACGAGCGAGCGCCGAGCGGAGAGCGCGCGAGCGTCGTGTGCGATTCGCGCCCATCAGAAACAAGCGTTATGGTGATGTCTTAATGTTGAGTTCGACTTGAACGCACAGCCATTTTCCTAAACACAGTATCGAACCTTACTCTATCCTAGCGCACCCAACGGCTGCCACCTTCGCGTGTATACCCACTAGACTACCTATAGTAATTACAATAAACCACTCTATCAACAAATTCAACAACATTTAGCTATTAAAATTAAAATGGGAGGATGCGAGGAGACGCGCGGCCAGAGTGTCGCCACGTGCCGGCTCGGAGTGCCGAGAGAAACCTCTGCGTTAGTTCCGTATAATGAAGAATGACAACTAGCTACCTTATCCTACAACATTGAAATTCCTTAATCGTAACAGCATTACACAGTGACGGTGGAGGTGCGGATGGCGCGGCTCGCGGCCGCCTTCTGGCGCTGCCGAGTACGTGGCTCGGGGCGATCAACGGACATCTACTGTTTATTATCTTGCCACGCGATGAACTATCCGGATAATGATTACCGCACTTAAAATATTTTGTATTCACGTTAATATACTCTCAAATATTGTAACAACTTCAGTATAACAACATTAACATTTTCCCAGTAATTTTAAAATTATCTAATTATATTGATTTTAAATATGTTAATTATAACTAACTAGAGTTCCATTGTTAAGTATAAGTGTCGGCGCGGCGGTCGTCCCGTGTCGCGTGCCGCAGTTAGTGCGGCGAGCGGGCGCGCCCCGCTCCGACAACCGCCGCGCCCACTAACAACAAAGTCACTAAGAAAGAGAGAAAGAGAGAGTGAAGAAACAAGACTGAAACTATGTCTACCCCCCAGAGCTCGCCCGAACCGTGAAATGATATTTCATTTTTTTGGAAACCATACATTTCTTTTAATTGACGCATTTGACTTATACGTACCGACTAATCAAGATTTAGTTGCGATTAAAATTGAGCTTGTTAAATCGACGTGACAGGCGATTCGCGTTCTGGCCGCGGCCGACACGACCGTCGTCTGTGTGCTCGCGGTCACTCGCGATCACTCGCGGTCACTCGCGGTCACTCGCCCTCCGCCGCGACATACCGCCGGCGTCCCCGGCCATACCGTACACTACCCCCGTTACCCATCAGTTCCCCGGTTATAGCCACCGCGAACGCACAGACGTATTAATTAATTGACACAAGACGATATCTGTACCTACCCCCATTATACATAGTTAAGATGAGAAAATTCGAAAACACCGGAAATGTATCCAACAGCTTTACTTATGTATATACTTTAAAGATTGAATATTATATAAATATTAACTAGCTACTGTAATGCCACACTACACTGCGAATGTTAACTACATAACACACGTATATATGTAATAGATCAGTTAACAATATCCACAAGTAATGCCGAGCGCGGGCGCCTGGCGGGCTGCCAGTCGCGCGGTCGCCGCGGCGCAGCTTACAACGATACATTACTATTATTTCACTCTCACGGAAGTACGAGGTTATGGCGAATAGAACGTGCTCACTTCCCTAATTATTAATTAGTTAAAATATTTATATTATAATTTTTATTATTATAATCGCGTAATTGTGAATGAATTAGCTGAGAAATTGTCTCTCAATTCCGATTCCTTAAACACTATCATCGTACATTAACTTTCATCATTAAGCCGATTTCAAATTATTATATCATTTATTATGAATACGTTTTCTTTTGTACTTCATACGTTTATTCACATCTGATGTAGTCACCGCCTTCGTGAGTCAACCAGTAGTAGACTATGTGCAGTATCATATTACCGCATTACGCGTTGGCGCCCAACGTGGGCCCGAAGTAGTTGGACAGCAAGTAGTCGTGTGAAACATTGAACATGTCGAGAGGCTCACCTCACTAATCCTGTATCTAGAACGATGGCACTTCTGAGGTAAACAAACACAACTTATAACTACCCTCCGACGAAGTACCGAACGGCTTCTACACTAAGTGGAGACTGACACGTAGTACCTTGACAATGTCGACGAAAACAATCACAGTTTATAATATTATGTAACGCTACCATCACACGCAGGCCGCGGCCGGCCGCGGGCTGCCGGGCCGGCCCCGGGCTGCCGGGCCGGCCGCGGCCGTCGTGTGGACACTAACAGACACTAAAAGAACGTCTTGGTTAAACGACGGCGCAAAAATAAAATATTCAATCAATATAGTAACTGTAAATAAGAATATATCATTTATATTGTCATCTCGATATATAGAAATCTGCATTTAAAATGTTTAAAATATTTTCTTATTATTTTTCACCTACTAGTCTGGACATGCATTTACTATTATTATTATTATTTAAATTGTACTTATATCGTAAGACAAATTTAGACCGACAACAAATCAATAACTATGAAACATTCCTAATAAAAAAAATATTTAAAAACGATTAGATATTTTCATTTTGTTTTATAAATGTATAAAAAAATAAAGATCTTTACCGAGAGAAATCAGGAATGAACAACTGCTCGCCAAATTAGCACCCAGCCCCGCGCGAGACTCGAGTGTAGACTGGGCACGTGGCGAGTGGCCCTCTACCGGCGACTATTGCAACATGCCCGGCCTGTAGTGTCGGACTGAACACAGGACGCAGTGAACGTTTCAGTCGGAGCACTCGGTAGGGGTGACCAAGTCGATGCTTGCGGTAGCATGTCAGTAAATAAAACTTTGGTAGGACTCGGCTCCCAAACTCCCACAGGTTGCGTGTAACGCCGGCGACGTCGCCCGCGGGACGTCGCGCGTGCGTACGTTTATTATTCATTAATTAACCACATCACTAATCCTAATAAACTAAAGAAAAATAACTTATCAATGGTAACATTTACAATGAACTCAACTTTGTAAATAAAAAAATGTATGCTGTGGTGAATAATATACAAAAATAATATGTGTATGGAATAGGAATTTCCGTGATAGGAGATATCACAATATTTTCATTATTATATCTTAAACAACAATAACGTCTGCTAGGCAGAACAAAATAATGACTTGTCATCACGATAAGAACGTAAAGTGAGCGGCGGGGCCCCGTACAGTGGCGGCCGGGGCCCCGGCGGGGCGTGCCTACAGCTGCATAAATTATATCCTCCGTCAGATTAAAACAAAACAAAACTTCTTAACTAGAGTCAGGTAACTCGCGCCAATAGTTTAAGGTGACCGAGCGACGCAGACGGTCTGTGATCCAACAGTGTTTGACTAGAACTAGACACTACGCTAGAACGAAATACAAGAAATGTACAGAGTGTAGTCGGTCGGGTGGCGGTTACTGCATGAGGCCGGAGATGGCGTTGTGGCGCGTGCGCTTGAGCTCCTCCTCCTGGATCTTCTGCTCGATGAGGTACTGCGCGTTACTGATGGCCGTGGCCGTGCCCGTGATGGTCACGATGCGGTTGCGGGTGCCGGGCGCGAACGTGCCCTTCTTGGAGATCTGGATGTTGGCGCCCGACATCTGCTGGATCTCCACCAGGCTGCGCCCGCCGGGGCCTGCAACAAGGCAGCGCAAGCTCTCACATGTGTCACAATTTTATGGATAACTCATATAAAAGGGATTTCGATAACATAACGTCTGTTCTTTCCTGAAGTGTTTAAGGGGTTGGTCAGATACTTAAATGTGGGGGCTTCGGCACGAATGGAATATATAATATGGCTCATATAGAACAGTCGTTAATGCGGCAACGCTTGCGTTGTGTTTCTCAGTGTAAGGAGTTGTCGGAGGCCCCATAACTTAATGTTCACATCCCCAAATTCCTAAAAGAGCGGCATACTCGTATCTGCTCTGGCGTTAGACATCCGTCTATGGACGACGCCGATTGCTTTACATTATGTGGTTCGTCCGCTCACGACGACACGAATCGCCATATTTTAACAAAATAGTAAAATAAAAAAGTTTGATTATAAAACAGACTGACCGAGTATAGCCCCGACGATGACCTCTGCAATCTCGACATTCTTGGAGTCCTTGGCTCCCGCGTCGGCGGGCGTGGGACTCTTGGACAGCGGCAGCAGCGAGGCAGAGGGGAAGCCAGCCACGCCGCCCACGCCTCCTACGCCACCCACGCTGCCCACGCCGGCCGACAGCGAGATAGGCGCCACGGCTGGGGGGCGAAGCGCCTCGAATGCAACCTCCGCGAAACGCTCTAAGGAGCCGCCGCGCGCGCCGCCTGCGGACGCGTCATACGTCAGCACCCGCACTGCGCCCTCCCGCGGCCCTCCCGCCGTGGC